GAGGCTTAGGCAGATGGGGGGGCAGCGGGGGCCGCTGACCGTGACAGCTGGGGGTGGAGATGCCGGATGTGGAAGTCCTGGGTTGGTGTGGTTACACGTGGTCTGCGGTTGGATGTACTGCCAAATCCTCTGAAATGCCTCTGGATTTATGGTGGAGAAATGAACATTCAGTGCACGGGCAACAGCTCTGGTGGACATTCCTGCAGTCAGCATGCCAACTGCACGCTCCCTCAAAACTGTGACATCTGTGGCATCGTGCTGTGATGAAACTGCACATTTTAGAGTGGCCTTTTATTGTGGTCAGCCTAAGGCACACCTGTGAGGTGGCTGGATCATGGCAAAGGAGAATTGCTCACTAACGCAGATTTACACAAATCTGTGAACAATATTTAAGAGAAAAAGGCCTTTTGTGCAGATAGAAGAAGTCTGAGATGTTTGAGTTCAGCTCATGACAAATGGCACAAAAACAAAAGCGTTGTGTTCATTATTTTTGTTCGGTGTGTTGGAGGTTTTAAAAACTGCATGAGGTCGTTGTTTTATTTGGGTTTTAACTTGTGGAGAACTGTGCTGACTTTAACTCCTGTGGTGCATTTATGCATTCTTGTTCTTGATTCTCCATGTCGTTTATTGTAACAACATTTTTCAGTTTGCTTGTTGTTTTTGTGTGTTTTTGTAAAGTTTTGTGTGTTTATGCTTCTGATAGTTCAGGACTTCCTGAAAAAGCTGTTTCTTAGTTGAACGTTTTAATTAAATAAAAAGCAAGTAAATAATTAAATAAACTGTATTTTGACCTGCATTCACTGAGGGGTGTCCTTGGTTTACTGTCCAGTCTGGATTTATTCCCAGTAGAGATAAATAACAAACACACACACCTGTCTGGTCAGGCTGGAGAAGAAGCAGCGGCTGTCGAAGCCAAAAACTTCTCCGCTTTCTTCGTCTGACTGTCTGATCGTTTCCTTTCTCCAACATTTGCTCTGAACAAGAAGGAGACAAACTTTACAATTAAAGCTGTAATAGTAAAAAATAACAATTCTCTGCAATGTTCAGAAGTTTCAAACTTAAAGCACATTTTTAGCATCTAAAAGTGAAGGGTTTTATTGAGGTGCCAACAAACTAGAATATAAATGAAGGAGAAAAGTTGGTGATTTATGAGCTAGAGTTTTTATTTGAGGAAAATTATCATTTACTTGGTTCTGAATGGGTTTATAGACCCGACAGCCCTCCAGGTATGGATCAGTCTGACACGCCCCCTTGTGGAGGTGAAGGAAATGACATCCAACTCCACTGAGGGGAAGAGGAAGAACAAACAGGCAGGAAATGCATTCAAAATAAAGTTGAACTGATTAAAGGTTAGCTGACTCAAAGTCCAGTTGATCATTTTACCTGCCAGTGCAGAAAAATGTCGAGGAGTTGTGTTTGCAGGTCGACAGAGAGCCGAATGACGCTCCTCCACCTGTTAGAAAGTGTAACCGAGACTGTTCTTTGGGAATGAACTCAAGTAAAGAACTGTGTTGTTTTTTAAGCTATATTAGCTCTGAGTCTGTTCTACTTTAATGTACAGTAGTCCCTCGCTACTCCGCGGTTCGACTTTTGTGGACTTGCTCTTTCGCAGTTTTTTTTAAGTAAGTTGAGCACGAGGAAGAATAAATTGTACACAACATGATTGTCAACTTTAATATTACTCATGACTGGGACAGTATGGGATACAGTACTGTACTGTAAAAAGTTAAAGACAAAATAAAATAAAATACTTCGGACAGGCGCTGCCATTTTGTAGTTTTCTATCGGTAAGCCTATGTTGTATCGCCACTCATAAGGACTACATGTCCCAGAAGCCTTGTTTCCTTCTGCTGAAATACATTGAGGGAACGTTTCGATCTGACTGGAAAACGTTTGGTCCTTTACAGTGACTTCGGTGCCCACTGGATTCAGAGAACCGCATGGAACCCAACGGGAACTGGATCAGAACTGAATCTCCAGACCCATGGTGAATCTGAGAGTTGCTTGCTGGACCACGAGTACTTCTGAGCAGGTACGCGCTACCAGGTCCGTCAAACGGAACCAAGTCGGAGCAGAACCGAGCTGCTGCTGTTCTGCAGAGCTGGTGAGTAAAATTTAGTAGCTACATATACAGGACTGTATGTATGTTGTTAAAATGAAGTAGGTTCAAGAGTTTAGAACATTGCAAGAGTTTGGGAAGAGTTTCTAAACCCTTAAAATATATTTAAATACTAAAATAAATATAATTTTGCTACTTTGTGGATTTTTATTTATTGCTGGGGGGGTGGGGGGGTGTTGGAATGTAACCCTCGCAATAAACAAGGGACTACTGTGTATTTGTATATTGATGAGTTTTGTTTCTTACTGTCTCCCCAGACCAGACTCTGTGCCCGGCTCTGGTTGACTCTGTACCATCCTGTGTCCTGCAGGGCAGCCAAGGTGACCGGGTCGATCCGGACTGTGGTCGGATCTCCCAGCACCGCCGTCATGATGGACCCCTGCAGGACGCGGGACTCCCAGTGAGAGGATCCTCTGCCTGCGGATCCATCCTGAAGAACAACAGGATCAGACATGCGAGAGTGTGAAGCAGAAAATCTGAGTTATTTTTTTTAATTATCAGTGGTTGTCAATCTAAACCCATTCAGTACCAAGTTCTCCAGAGGCCCCCCGAGTTCTGGATCAGTGGACACCAGGTGTTTTTGTAGCGCTGAGATGATGGATGGAGTGTAAACCCTCACCTGTCCTGACTCATCTGAATGAATCACTTTACCTCGAGGAGAACACGGAGCTCCTCCTTCATGCAGAACAACAGAGAAAAATAGTGTGTTGGGCTGAAATAATTTTGATTGTGTTCCAGTAAACTCACACATAACCAAAATAAATTAGAAGATGTGCATTTCCTGCAAAAATGCAGTGTGAATGCTTATTGCTGAAGAACTTGCTGAAAAACAGCTGAAATTAGCTAAAAAAATGCTGAAATGGAAGAACAAGCCTAAATGAAAAGAAAAATGTAGAAAGAATACATATTTACTGAATTAGGTTTAAATAAGAAGAAATTAGTACGAAAATTAGGAAATTAGCTAAAAAGCTAAAAAATAGCTGAAAATCAACTGAAAAGGCAGAATGAAGCTTAAACGACTACAAGGAAGAGGAAGGAGCTAAAATGAGCTAAAAAAATGTGGAATTAGCTGAAAAAGCTAAATTTAACACAAAAACAGCTAAACAGTAGCTGAAATTGAAGAAAAAGCTAAAAGGAGCATAACAAGCTGAAATTAGTAGAAAGAAGTTAACTAGGCTGAAAGTTGCAGAAATTACCACAAAAACTTGAATTTGTCTGAGAACAGCTGAAATTAGCTAAGAAATGCTAAAAAGTTAGCTGCAAAGGTAGAAAAAAATTAAATTAGCCGAAGGAAGTGGAGAGAGTAGTTTTCTTTTTCCATTTTAGGCTGAAAGAAGCAGAAATGAGCACTAAAAAGTAGAAATTATCTGGAAAAAGCTGAAATTAGCACAACAACAACAACAACAAAAAAAAAAAACAGCTGAAAAGTAGTTAAAAAGCAGAAAGAAGCTTAAATTACCAGAAGGAAGTGGAGAGAGCACATTTTTGCTGAATTAGGCTGAAAATAAGTTGGAATGAGATACAAAAAAAATGTGGAATTACTGAAAAAGTTAAAATTAGAATAAAACAGCTAAATAGTAGCTGAAATAGCAGAAAATGCTGAAATTTGCAGAAATAAGCTGAAAGGAGCACAACAAGCTGAAATTAGCAGAAAGAAGTTAGAAGCACAAACATATTGAACTTAGCTGAATAAAGCTGAAAGGAGCACAGCAGAAAACAGCTGAAAGTAGCTGAAAATGTTTACATTTGCTGAAAGAAGCTGAACCAGAACAACATGTTAAAGGAGCAGTAAAAGGTTGTAAACAGGTCTAAAGATTTTGAAGGATGGAAATGAGCTCAACTCATTTTCTATGAGGAAAAAAATGGCAAAAAAAAATCTAAATATTTCAAAAAGCTAAAGTTGCACCAATACCAAAAGTCATAGCACCTTCTCCTGAATGAGCTGAACGTTTTGATATATAATTATTTGAAATAGTACAAAAATTGTGGAACGAGAAAGATGCTGAAAAACACGTAAGAAAAATGGATCGCAATAATGTGAAAGCTTCTTAAACATTCACATTATTAGTCAAAAACAGTGACAGCTGCTGATTTGTTTTCCATACTGCTTGTCAACCATCCTCCAAACGAATGTGTGATGAAAAGACGTTAAAATAAATCAATTTAAAACCTTGATAGGACGATGAACAATCTCGCCAGGTGCTGAAGAGATCTTTAGAGAAACCAAGAGCGTGAAACAACTCATGAATCACCGTCTGGAAAACACATGGGGCGTTAATATGATCCATCAGTCAAACATTGTCAGCTCTTCAAAGAAATCACTTTATGGGATTAAAAACATAAAATGTTCACACCTGTACGGTAGTCCGGTGGTCGTATGTGTCTCCTGTTAGTCCGTCCCTGCAGAGGACCACCACCCCAGCAACAGGTCGTCCCCAGGGGTCTGTCTGACAGTGGACGGCGTACGCCAACACGTTAGGCTGCGTGAGCAGGAAGAGGAGGAACAATAAAATAAAATAAAAATCGTGACAGGCCTAACTGAAGATGTATTTCTGTGGGGAACGTCTGTAATGTCAAATAATAAGTTACTACAAGTCAGAACTGTAGTCTAAATGGAGCTGAATGTTTTGGTTCATGAATGGCTCAGACAACAGAGTTCGAATGCAAAAATGTACAGAAAAATAACAAGAAACAGGAAAACTGTGTAAATGCTGGATCAGCACTCACACAACACAAAAACTAAACAGATGCAACATTTAATTGTAGAACTCAAGGGACTGAGTTTAATGACATGTAAACATTGCAATAAATAAAATAAAACCATGAACAGTTGTAAAGCAACATCCATTTCCTGCTTTACAAAGATAGACAGCAGACCAAAGAAAAACTTTGAATAATTGTTGGGACCCGCTGTCTCTTCGCTCTGAGAAATGATCCGAGCCGAACTTCAGATGTGTGTTGTCATGTTTCGGAGTATTCACCTCGGCTCTACATTTATCAGTGATGCGTACGTTGATGTAAAGCAGGAAGTCGGTATCGGGGAGTCCAGCTCCTTCAGGTCTGAGAACAGTCCTGTGAGCACAATCAGCCTCTGGATAAATGTCACATCCCGACAGGTGATCATCTGGGATCTGCTTATTACAGGGGAAGTCGTATACCATAGTACAGTACCACCAGTGAGAATACAACACAAATATTACAGTAATTATACAACATGTGATACTTACTGTCACATCCAGACAAGTCTCAGCTCTGTAGCTTTTGTTGGCTCTTCCACACCTGCAGTATCAGAAACAAGAGAAATGGCATTTCCTGCTAAACGCAGTGTGAATGCTTATTGCTGAAGAACATGCTGAAAAACAGCTGAAATTAGCTAAAAACATGCTGAAATGCAGCTGAAATGGAAGAACAAGCCTAAGTTAGCAGAAGAAAGCAAAGAACACATATTTGCTGAATTATGTTAAAATAAGTAGAAATTATCAAAAAAAAAAGTTGGGAAATTAGCAACAAAAAGGCTGAAAAGGCAGAAAGAAGCTTAAACTACTATAAGGAAGTGGAAATAACTGAAATGAGCTAAAAAAAATCTGTCTGTTGAAAAAGCTAAGTTTAGCACAAAAACAGCTAAATAGTAGCTGAAATAGCAGCAAAAGTTGAAACTAGCAGAAATAAGTTGAAAGGAGCATAACAACCTGAAATTGGCAGAAAAAGGTTAATTAAGTTTTATGTAGCAGAAATTAACACAAAAAACCTGAATTTATCTGAAATCAGCTTAGCTACCAAATGCTAAAAAATTACCTGAAAATGTAGAACAAGCTTAAATTAGCAGAAGTAGAGAGCACAACGTTGCCCAATTAGGCTGAAAGAAGCAGAAATGAGTACAAAAAAGTAGAAATTATCTTGAAAAAAAAAGTTGAAATAAGCAAAAAATAGCTGAAAAGTAGCTAAAGGCAGAAAGAAGATTAAATTACCAGAAGAAAGTGGAGAGAGCACCATTTTGATTAATTAACTTGAAAAAAAAGTTTAAATGAGTGCAAAAAAGTGGAATTAGTTGAAAAAAAAACAACTAAAAATATAAAAACATTTAAATAGTAGCTGAAATTGCAGAAAATGCTGAAACTTGCATGAATAAGCTGAAGGATTCAAGGTTATTTATTTGTCATTCGAAAGGAAAGGAGCATAAGTTGAAATTAGCAGAAAGAAGTTAGAAGTACAAATATGTTGTAGTTTTCAAAAAGATCCTGAAATGAGCACAAAACTGATGAAAAAACAGCTGAAATTAGCTGGATTTTTAATATTTTTTTATTTTAATTTAAAAAAATGTTTTGCAGAAGGAAGCTGAAAGAAGCTGAAGCAGAACAAAATGTGAAAGGAGCAGTAAAAGGTTGTAAACACATCTAAAGATTTGAAGGATCTAAAATGAGCTCAATTCATTTTCTACGAGAAAAAAATGTCAGAAAAGGCTAAATATTTCAAAAAGCTAAAGTTGCACCAATACCAAACAAGTCATAGCCGAATTGTCCTGAAAGAGCTGAACATTTGTTGAAATAGCTTGAAAATTGTGGAACAGTATGCCAAAAAAAAAATGTATGGAATAAAAATGGATCACAATAGAGTGAATTCATAAACATTCACACAAAAATTAGTAATAAATGGGAGGTAAAGCTGAACCTGCTGATCATTTTAGATTCAAATACTCGTGTTATTTCTTTAAACTTATTAGAACGTAAAGTGAAATATGAACTGTTTTTACACACACATGGACACACACCTGTTGTAGTTGACGGTGCTTGAATTCTTCCAGAGGAACTTGCAGTATTTGTTGATGTCTCGGCTGAGCAACAATGGCCCCTCGGCTCTGTTCACTGTTACACAGTCCTCGTGTTAGTTCTTGCTCTGTGATGTGTGTGTGTGTGTGTATTTGTCACCTGAAAGCAGAGAAGACACCACCCTCACAGCCTCCTCCACTGCAGCCTCCAGCCTCCATCTCTCAGTCTCTGACAGGGTGAAGCTCCCTCTGGGAGTCCACGTCTTTATCCTGATTGGCTGTGGAGGGCTGGAAGGCGTTGGGACTAACTTTCCCAGAATGCTCCTCTTCTTCACTGTGAGCCTCCTCCATCTGGTTTGATGTTCAGAGGTCAGCAGGAGCTCCTGTCCAGTCTGAACTCTGACTCTGGACTGACTGCGTGGCTGTGGGGGCGCAGCTCTCAGCACTCTGACCTGAGCTTGAGCCTCATCAAAAACACACTTCTGCACGACTGCAGGGAGTTCAACCAGCAACACGGTGGCCACGAGCAGCAACCACACCCACAAACTCTGAGGGAGGAGAAGCAGTTACTAGTTTAAGCTCAGTCATCAAAGTTCATGCTCAATCATCCAGGTACAAAATCCAATAATGGTTAGTCAGGTCGTCTGGACAGTTTCTTTTTTGTGGAAAAACGTTTCACCCTCTATCTGGAGGTCTTCATCAGTCTGAGGAGTCCCAAGTAAACTGTTGTCCCCACTAAGCAGTATACTCCTTTAGTGGACCAACCAGTTTGCTGGTCCATTCATCCATTATCTTTACCCGCTTCTTCCATTTTGTGTCACAGCGGTCGCCGGTGCCCATGTCCAGCAATCACTGCGAGGGGCGGGTACACCCTGGACAGGTATTTCCACAAAACAGAAACTGTCCAGATGACCTGATTGACCATTATTGGATTTTGTACCTGGATAATTGAGCATGAACTCTGTTGTCTTGGACCACCTTGGTTGTGGCTGCTTGCCTGGGAGGAGTTGATGGGGGACAGGACAGCCCCCAGAAACCACCTTATCCCCAGCAAACTGGTTGGCCCACTAAAGGAGTGTACTGCTTAGTGGGGACAACAGTTTACTTGGGACTCCTCAGACTGATGAAGCCCTCCAGATAGAGGGTGAAACGTCTTTCCACAAAAAAGAAACTGTCCAGACGACCTGATTGATCATTATTGGATACTAGTTTGATTCTTCTCATGACTTAAACGGGACTGACTGGATAAATACAGTTAACAGATGTCCATCAGCTGTTAATGGGACAATTATCTGTAAAAAAATGTAAATAATGGATCGCTCCAGAGGCAGCACGGTGGCGCAGTTGGTGGAACTGCCACTTCTCAGCAAGCAGGTTGATGGATCAAATTATGGCCAGAGGCCTTTCTGGATGGTCTGCACGTTTTTCCAGTTTCCCCCCCACAGACCAAAAACATGCATGTTAGACTGACTGGTGACTCTAAATTGTCCCCAGGTGTGAGTGAATGGTTGTCTCGTTTGTCTCTCTGTGTCCTTGTGATGAACTGGAGACCTGTCCAAGGTGCCCCCCCATCTCACAAAGTGATGGCTGGATATAGGCACCAGTGACCCCCGCAACCCAAAATGAAAGAAGCGGGTAAAGATGATTAAAAACTGAACCTTCATGTGGCCACATACACAAACAAGAGTTTAGTTGTGTATCCAGGACAATAAAAAATTAACTAGCATTACTTGAACACCCCTCACCTTTTCTCGTGTTGTTTGTGCCCAAACTTCATGTTGGTCATGACTCTCAGCTACTACCAGAGTTTGAGCTCAGATTCTGTAGAACTGAGCTGTAGTCATTTGTATGTTAAATTGGTACCACTTTACAAATGCTCCCCATAGTTTATACATTAATTCCTCTATCAACACTTTATAAATCATTAATAACTGCTTATTATGAATTAAGGCAAAACTGACCAGTTTCTTGCCAAATCTGTTCATCTATATATTTCATCTAGTTGTTAAACATTTCAGACTAAGTTACTACCTTGTGAGCACAATAATTTGTAAAAAAATTTTTTTTAGTTGTAGATGCTTATAATGCAGAGATAAAGTACAACATTATATGCTAAAGAAATAGGTTTGGAAATTTGCGGAAGGAAGCTGAACAAAATGTGAAAGCAGTGAAAGGTTGTAAACACATCTAAAGATTTGAAGAATGGAAAATGAGCTCAGTTCATTTTCTATGAGGAAAAAGTGACAGAAAAGGCTATATATATATATATATATATATATATATAAAAAGCTGAAGTTGCACCAATACCAAAAGTCATATCAGGATTGTCCTGAAAGAGAAGAACGTTCTACGATTTGTTGAAATAGCTTGAAAACTGAGGGACGAGAAATGCGCTGAGAAACGTACAGAAGAAAAGTAGATGATAGTGTGAATGCTTCATGATGACAGATGAAGTACCTCGTTGTGTCTGACCGCAGTTCGTCCCTCCATGTGCTCTCATTGTTCAACACAAAACTTCTCCAACAGCTTCCGTCCTGAGAACGGGTTAAAATGCTCCTTCCCCAGAACAGCCTACAGGAGTTCACACTTCAGTGTGCGTGAAGTTCCTCAGGAGCACAAAGGACAATGCAGTGACCCTCACAGGTACTGTCAGGATGCCCCGCCCCCTCACAAAAACACCAAACACAGAAGTGCAAATCGTTTAATCTCAGCCACATTTTTACGTATATACAGTGAAGTTGACCTCAGTAAACCATAAAATCACGTTCTCTTTAATTTCTCTAAGCTTGATGCAAATTTAAAAACTTTTGGCTCCTCCACATTGACCCTAATACATTCAACAAAGCAAACAGATCAGTCTGAACTAAAAACACCATCAAATGTACGATATGAACACAAATGGCACGTTACAAGTCTCCTGTGTCCAAACTTATTGAAAGCCAAGCGAGACGTTGAGGTTATTTTGTGAATTTAGGGCCCTCTTCATCACCGGGGGGGGGGGGGTCCCCTCCTCTTCCTGTGCACACACACACCAGGCACCAAGGAGATTGTCTTCTACAACACCGACCTTTCACTTTACATTCATTCACTCAGGAAGGATTCACTGACGTGCACTAAAAGTGAAGGATCTTGAAAAGTTATTGCCAACTTGCAGAGTACGTTTTTTACTCTTGAAATAAAGCCACTCGAGCGTGGATGGCGTGAAGGAAATACTAGCTTGCGTGATTGTGTGTGCAGTGTGACCCCTACAGGAAACTCCTCAAAAGGCACTTAAAGACGTGGGGAAACATTTCATGTTATTCATCTAAAAAAAAAAAATCAGATCGGTACGCAGAGCCACACGCCACGACTTGTCCGAGACTTCGGATAAAACGCACTCGGCTTTTCGTTGCGTTGTTTCAGTGTGACAGTCGCCTGCCTCAGGGTTGGGATGGGGAACGTCCTTCTGTGCAAACATTTAGCGTCTCTGCGCAGGCCAGTGTTAATTAAATGCACGTCCCCGAAAACTTTTGTCTCAACGTAAAGTTGCTTTTAGAGATTTTAATGTACAAGTCGGGCAATAGGTGGTTCCAAATGTGAGCGAATTGGTGAAAGCGACTTGAAAAGGCACCAGACTCGCAGAGAGAGGGAGTCCTGTGCTCAGGTCCCAGCACAAAGACGGAGAGGAGAAAACAAGAAAATAATACGGAAGTGTACTGAGGGAGGACGGCGTTCAGGTGAGCATGGGCACATCGTCCTCTGAGGCGGTGTCTTCAGACAGCGGGATAAGCAGCACCTCGTCGTCTGAAGAGGAGAAAGAAGAGGAGGCGGAGAGAGCCATGGAGTTAGTGGTGGAGGAGGATGAGGCTCTGAAGAGGGAGAGACTCAGGCCTAGAGTTTGGAAGATGGAGGACAGGGAGGGGCTGCTTGGAGCGACGGCAACAGGAGGGGTGTGGGGAGCGTCCGGGGGAGGAGCTGGAGGGGCATACGGAGGAGGGGGCGTTGAGGAGGCGGGCGGCGGTAGCAGCGGCAGCAGAGGAGGCGGTGCTTCTTGCTGCTGCTCCGTCTGAACCAGTATGCCGAGTTTCTGAGGCACCGGTTGACTGACCGCCTGCACCGCCGCCGCCGAGGAGGAGGACCCGTCAGGGGAGGACTGCGCCGGTTCCTGGCCGGGCGGACCGGAGTTAGACTGCTGCTGGGAGGAGCTGGAGGTCTGGCTCGGCCTGGAGGACGTTCTGGGGATGAGGCCCCACCTCCTCATGCGACGGACGGCACGGCGGACGAATCGGGGCCGGCGTCTGCGGTGCGGGGAGTTTTGTGCGTCCTGACGAAGGAGCTGAAGGATTCCTCTCAGAGAAAGAGTCGACGTCTGACAAACAAAAGAACAAAGAAAAGAGCAAAGGTGTTAAAAAAATAACCCAGTGATGTGATTCAATCTTCACAAAACATCAATGTTCAAGTTTAATAAACAACACGGAGGGATTAGAAGTTGTATTCACTGAATTTTGCTCCATATTTTTTTAACGGAGCACTTCACTCTTAGACTGTGGGTTTACTTGCGGTTCCTAGAGTTTCCAAAAGCAGAATGGGAGGAAGACCTTCCAGTTATCAGGCTCCTCTCTTGTAGAACCAACTTCCAGTTTATGTCCATGAGGCTGACACATTGTCCAGTTTTAAGATTGGGCTTAAGATGTTCCTTTTTGATAAATCTGGGGGAGTGGTGGCGCAGAGGTTACAAGATGGGCATGTGATTGGAAAGTCTCAGGTTCAACTCCCGGTATCGTCAACATCAAAATGTGGGTGGAAAAGGTGAAACACCCACACCTGCCTCCACCCTCAATGGCCCCACTCTGGGCCCCTGAGCAAGGCCTTTAACACCCACCATGTGCTCCCTAAACAGGTCTCTCTTGAAAATGAGTTCTCGTAACTCAATGAGACTACCTGGATAAATAAAGGAAAAAAAAAATCCTATAGTTAGGGTCGGCTTGGGTTTCCTGAGCTATCCCTTAGTTATGCTGCTATAGGCTTAGACTGCTGGAGGACAAACTGACCACATTTCCTCACTCTGCTGCTGTCTTTACTCTGCTCAACCTGTTTTGTATTTGTAATGTCTTTTATCCTTGACATGTGTTTTTGTCTTTCTTCCAAAGGGGGTACATCTGCACCTGGACCTGCACCTGGCATTCTGTGTTTGTCTCTCTTTCCTGTTCCTCTCAAACCCAGCTGGTCGAAGCAGATGACCGCTTGTCCTGATCCTGGTTCTGCTGAAGGTTTCTTCCTCATGAGGGAGTTTTTCCCTTTCCACTGTCACCTTCATGCTTGCTCAAGATGAGAGTTCTGTGATGGAGTTAAACTCAAAGCAGTCTGCTCCTCAGATAAATAGTGTTATTAACTTACTTTTTATAAATATAAATGTTTCTGTTCAGTGCCCTGAGATGACTTCTGTTGTGACTTGGCGCTATATAAAAAAACTGGATTGAACAGAAAATTAACTTATCTCCTGATTCTGCTCTCAACCTGCCACGAGTGCACGACGTCCAGACATCCAGCGCTACTACAGATCTCACACACAGCGAGGATCAACGAGTGCAAACATCTCCGTTTTCAGTTTATCGTGTCAAAGAATTCACTTACCGTATATTTTACGTAAGTGCATTTATTTATTATTTCACAGAAGCCACAAGTACTTATAATTGTCAGAGAAACAAGCTTTTATTGTGTTAAGTAAATAAGCTCAGCAAGTGTCTGATGACTAAACACTGACCCTTTTAGCTACATTTTACTACAGCTATGCCATATTAATACTACCCATCACCTAAAACGATGTTTGGAATATCTGACAGGTCAAACACAAACATACTCTATTGTCTCACCTCATTGGGGCTTCCTGTGGGGAAATCCTCCACAGGGGGGATGATGCCCTGGGCAATCAGCTGACCGTAGGATGGAGGAGCCTGTTGCTGGATCAGCTGGGCTTCCTGACGGCTAATCGGAGCAAACATGCTGCCAAAAACAAAGTATTTTTAGACACATTCATAAAATGACAGTAATCGACAGCCCAGTAGATGTTCTGTAGAAACACTTCCTACAGAACAATGACACACAACTCACATAAAGGCTGACTTTGTTGTGAAATGGTTTAAAGTTTTCTAAGACGTATCTAATTTAAATGCTTAGGCTATGTTCACACTGCGTCTCGATGCTCAACTCGGTTTTGCTCAGAGCAGATCTTTTCCGACGTACTGAAAGCAAAAACAAACTCATGTATTGATATGGTCCAACACTAATGTCAGTGTCGTCTGTTGCTATGAGTTCCCATTCATCCGGACGTAGTAAATTAAAAGGATGAAGCAACTGGACTTGTGTTCTGTAGCTGAAGACGTGTGGAGTTCCAAGATTTAAACTGCACATGGTCCGTATCTCTATTAATATTAGCTGGATCGATCTGTTTACCTTCATCTCACTCAAATAAAAGTTGCATGAAATGCGACAAGACTGTTCAGCCTGAGGTCGCTTTGAAAAACACTGGCTATGAATCCAATTTAGTACCACGTATGAAAAAGACCTGGGTCGGATTAGAAAAAAATCTGATGTCACATTCAGACTGTCATGAAAAAAATCCAACATTATATATATATATATATATATATATATACACAGTATAATAGCCTACGAGGAAGTCACAAACCCGAATGACTTCAGACACATGCCTTACATTTTCATTATCAACTTGACACAACTCACATGGTTGAGACAAGTTGCAACATGAACATTTTACTTGATTTTCTTCAGAAACGTGGTCTACAGTGCTGTGGAAACTAGGTGTGCACCATCAAAAGCTAAGCCAGCGACAGTTACCTGTACTCCCTGGTCCTGAGCGAGTACAGTTTACACGTGCAGCCCATGGCGATGACCAGCAGCAGTCCACAGATGAGGCTGCCCACCGTCGCCGCGGTGATGACCTTGCGGGGCAGCATGACTGTGCAGCTGAGCTCGTCCGTGCCGTCTTTACAGTCCATCTGGCCGTCACAGCGCCAGCTCTCATAAATGCAACTACAGTGGGAACAATGGGCCGTTTGTTGTTAAAGAATGCAGGAGCAGGTGATTCAACTTTACGTGAAAATACGTCCTCAGAACCTGAGCTGAGTCGTTACACACGCCATAAAACACTGATGTGTAATAAACAAAGTGAAAACCTTCATAATGTACTTTGTCAGAGAACATACAGTAGAAAAAACTATGTTTAGGTCAAGGTTCAACCCCTGGAAGTCTCTTTAACTTTACAGGTAGTGTTCCTCAGGGGAAATATTCACTGCCTTATTTAATGCTTAAAATACTATTTTTTTTATTTTATTTTTCAAAAATACTAGTCATTCTTTTCAAGCTTTCTCAGCCGGAAATAAAAATAGCAAATTTGATGACTTTTTAACAACTCTTTAAAGATCTTTTGTTTAGAAAAACTCCACATTTCAGATGTTAAAAAAAAAAGACAAAATATTTATTTTATGAGAAAAAATAAAAGACAAATCCCTTGATTAATAATTTAATTATTCTAATGTGGCTTATCTCCCCCCTCCCCCCC